TGCCACAACAAGAAAGCGCAATCGGACTTTTAACGTCGTTATTATCGCCTGTCACGCACCGACTCGAGTTCCCCAGCACTTTACCAGTGAGAGAAAGTGCTAAGATACTCTACTTGGAAGAAAATCTGTGTGCTATACACTTGTTACTGCACAATCACCCTTTTCGTAGAGCTGCACTGCGGCCCTGCCCAATTTCTCGGACGCTCCTCAAATGCGGCTCGAGCTCACCAGCCCAACATCCGTAGAGTTCGAGTAAATGTTTCTTTCAGTTCTCGGTGACATAAATCACTCGCCACCTTCAAAAGCTCCCAAGTTGCAAAACTTTGTTGTCCACTCGTTCCTGTCTCCGACGAGACAGTCACCTTAGTTAGTGGGCATGACAAGACGTCCCCATTCCCTTTGAGAGATCCGGCTGAAAGGGACCCAATCGATTGTCGCTGAACGAATCAAATCGAACGCACTAGACGAATCAAATCCACTGGAACTCTAGGAGTTTAGAGCAGGATCTAAGGTACTCGTGGGTGATGTTGGCCTAGCAAGCATTCAGGATCTTAGGGCAACTCTAACTAACCTCTCAAAATTTGGCCGTCTACTCCCACAAATAAGAATCCCTCATCTAGATTCTAGCCCTCGTTTCTCCTTGATCTCCAACCGAACTCTCATTTTAGGTTCTCTATTTTCTCTCACCTATATTTTATACATAACTTGTAACTACTAAGTCCAGCATTTTATATCTAAAACCGTGTTAGTATTATTAGAATGGATATTTGTTAATGATAATTTTGTACGGCTAAATATTGGAGGAATTACTTTTCAAATAATTTACAACTATATTTTTTTATTTGTCATCTTAGAATGGCTATATATTTGAACCGACGCTCTTTCAACGGCTATAAATCAAATGGTCGCTCTTCCGATGGCTATAAATCAATCAAGCGGTCGCTCTTCCCACGGCTATAAATCAAGCGGTCGTTGTCGGTGCGAAATGTGACCGACAAAGTAAATATTTATAGTTTTGCCGTGCGTTGTGATCGGATGTGGCCTAACACGCGATGACAAAGGATTTATATTTGGTTCGAACAACGTGTCCTACGTCCAGTTTCAGTCGGTCGGTGACTTTATTCCTGAGCCCAGGTGCTTGAAGTTTGTTGTGGGGTTACAAACGAGTAAGGAATGAGAAGGGGGTGTTAGAGGCCCGGTCGGACTCTGAACCGAATGGAAGAGTGTGACGGGTTTTCTAACATGCGCTAAGTATTGGAGCGTATGCTCTGTGTAGCTGTCGAGTTCTAGAGCTGTTGAGCTGTTCAAGTCCTCATGTCCTCGAGTCCTCGAGTCGTCTAGCCTCTTTTTGTTGGGAGAGAACGCATCCCCTTTTATAAACAAAGATGATAGCCTTACAAGTCAGAGAGAAAAGAGAGAATGTACACGTGTGCTACCTAGTCTTGTTGTCCACGCTGTCGGATATAAGACGGTCGTAGACGTCCACAATACTGTTTATGTTCAGATGCATCTGGCAGGCTTTACCATGTTCGTCTGGTACTACAAACGTCGGCGTCTACAATACTGTTTGTGCTCTGACACATCCGGAAGGTTGTATAGTGCCCATCCGGCATGACCTGGTGGTACCATCCTGTAGGTGCGCAGGGTATGGAAGGATACGGTCCTCGGTATTGCGGTTGACTTGAGCACCTTACCTTATCTGCTCCACCTGATCCCCGGGCCCTCACCGAGCGGGCGTCCCCGGTCAGTCGTTCCTAGTCGGTCCCGACCATGTCAGTCAGGAAAGAGCAGCGAGCAGAGGTCTGGCGTATCCTTGGTCGGAGTCGGACTGCGGTCCCACCTTGGCTAGGGCTTCCGGGCGGGGACCGGATCGTTGTCTCGGCCTGTCATTATGTATCTGGGCCGGTCCAGGCGCGTGTTGTCGCCGCGCTACCTGCTGGGCCGGGTTTTGCAGGGAAGCGGGTCCATTGGGGACCCCGGGTTTATGAACCCGACAGTCGCTCTATCTGCAACGGTTATATTTTTTCGTCTATATATATTTATGGCCATTCCCTTTCCTGAACCAATTTCAATATTGGGCTGCTTCTTATCCACTGAAAATGAGTCGTCTCTCCCGACTAGATTCATCTTCTTCATCCAATGATGGTGATGATGCTCTTGAGGAAACCCTTACTGCGTTACACCAAGCACACACTCAATATCAAGCTCTCTGTGCTCCACGATGGGGTGGTTTTGTACTTGGGCGTCAGTACATTCATCGGGACAGAGAAAGTGGGCATTGGAGGTTGTACAATGGCTATTTCTCCGAAAATCCAACCTACGGGCCACCTTTCTTCTAGCGCAGGATTGCTAATAGCTTGTTAATTTTTGTGTACCTTCTTTATCCACATTCCTGTCTATGTTTGCTTAGTTTGGATTTGTCCCTCAGGTTTAGGATGTCTCGTACGCTATACCTTCGTATAGTGCAAGCTGTAGAGCAACATGATAATTACTTTGAGCAGAAAAGAGATAGAGTTGGACGTCTCGGGTTATCATTTTTGCAAAAGATTAGCTTTTTTAATGCTTAGTTATGGAGTACCAGTTGATTTCATGGATCAATATATTCGCACACAAATTTGGCACAAATTGTTCTTATAGAGTTCCATGGATAACAAACATACTGGTACATGATTTAAATAAACATAGTTCATAGTACACACACAAAAGACAAATAAACACGATGCTTCTAGTTGCCACCACCACAACGTCGAGCAATGATCTCATTCTGCAATGTCTTATAAAATATCTTTTATCGCTCACTTATACCATTAAGGTCCATGTTCATAACTTTCTCATCATCTTCTCTCTGTTTGAACTCTATTTCTCGTTGCATTAAATCCAGCTTCCTATTTGCTACTTGTTGCTTGATTTCAAGCCTTCCAATCTCTACCGCAAGCCTCTCATTATTACGCTCTTTTTTCTTAATCTCCCTCGTCTCTTCGGCCTTTTATCTCTTTGCCCACAATTTTTCCATTGCCTCCATGTAAAGGCCTTCTCCTTGAGAGTTAGGATTTTTACCTCTGCGTGCTTTCTACTTCTTCTTACCATCTGGCCTTTCTTTCCTTGGTGATGTATGACTTGGTCCATTCTCTTCATCAGCATACTTTCATGAGTTCCTGGTGTATATGACCCTGGACTTGTGGTTAAGGAAGTCTTGTGTTTTTTCTAAGAGCTTTGAGAGGTCTCACAACCTAGATCAGCCCACTTCTGCTCATGCTGCAGCTTATTCCAGCAGTGCATGAAAATAAATGGTTTCCTCTCTGGATCTTTTTCCTGGTACAATTCCTTTGCCCGTTCTATCTGCACAAGAAACATGTGTTGGCTACCATGCACAAAAGATATACATTTTCAATCAATTAACATAATTAAACAACTTACCTTATCTTGCTCTGTCAACCCGCTTTCTCTTTAATTCTGAACTTGAGTATATCATCCACAAAATCTATTAACACTTTTATGGATGATACCCTAACGGTGAGAGAGAGAACTGATATTACGCTCGGACTCAAAAGTCTTGTGCTCATGATAATAATCATGAATTCGCTTCCAATAGGTACTACGAGTTTGATCAGTGCCTTGAACTGGATCCAAGCTAATTTCTAGCCATGCTTTCACCAACATATTGTCTTCCTGGGGAATAAAATTTCTAGTCCTCTTCTTACTTGGTTTCAGGGGGAGTACAATCATGTGTTTCAACTTTAAAGTCATCAAAAGATAGATCATTGTTGTCCCCATTGCCTGAGAGCAAATCAATGTAACTCTGCATTGGTGTCCCCATTGCCTGAAACTAGATCAACCCAATTCTAAATAATTCTAAGAACACACAGAAATCAACTTGAACAACTAAATGATAAGACCTTAATCTGTCTACAACAACCGGATAATACTCAATGGGTCTAAAAAATCTCGTGAATTTGAGATAAGTTCTACAGGAAATTTTGACCATCTCATAATCACAGAACCTTCTTCTGCTATTAAATAAATAAAAAAAAGGTCTAATTGACACCTACAGCGCATCTAGGGGCAAGCTGCAGTGGGTCGTTCTTCACCTATTAAACAAATCCAAATCCAGGAGCGAGCTGCAACTAGCCGCGTAGCAAGGGGTGACCTGTTGCCGGCCACGCTCCAAGGGGCCAGCAGCACTTGCGAACTCCGGGAGGCCGGCAAACAGGGAGCGACTAGACGGCGGCTCCGGCAGGCTGCGCAGCAGGTCACGAGCTCTAGCAAGTCGCGAAGCACGGCCGAGCAAGAGGCAGATTTAGCAGGCGCAGCAGCAGGGGCGAGATCCGCAGGACTTGGCACAAGTGCGCCAAGCAACAATGAAAAAGGATTACGCAGAGCACGTGAGCAGCGGCGGCCATGGCGGACGCCAAAAACGAGAAGAGGAGGATGAGGACATATCGGCTCGGAGAACTTCGGGGGGGGCGGCCATTGGTCCTCTCTGACGGATGAGGAGTCCCTTAGATGTGGGGGACGAGGAGAGAGAAATGAGGCATCCTCATCTTTCGGGGATCTGATAGGAGACCGGTTGGATAGCTGTTTTTGCGTTTTGGACCCTCAAAATGCGACGAGGGCTGGGATAGGACGTTGGTTGGAGTTGCCCTTACAAAGGTTTCATGTCCATTGTTCAGTCCAATTTCGCACAATAGATTTTGGCGATGACAAGAATTTTGCAAGCCCCACCGGTACAGAAAAGATAAGATGCCGATTCAATCACACGATATACGTTCAGGTCAATCAGAAGGGCATAGTATGTACTCGAAAGCAGATGATGCTGAGTTTGTGCACCAAAACCACGAGTGGATGAAGATGAATGTCTTTCTGGGACTGACGACATGAGCATGAAGGGGGCAAATATACCGAGGTTTCATGTCCGATAACCCACTGTCCCAATGTTCCTTGAGTAGACCATGAGATCTGACCCTCCAAGATCCTATGTTAACCAACCTTTGGCCCTCTGCTTACTTTGCCTTCTTGATGAGTGTTGAGGTGCGGAATTCAGCGTCATCCTTAATGAAGCTCCACCAGAGATACGTGAGTGGAATGGTGCTCGCATGCCACAGAGAGTGGGCATCAGCATAGCCCATGTATGGAGGAAAGTCGTAGAGTTCGAGAAGCATAGCTAGTGCTCCTCCAAAAACAACTGTCCAAAGCTTGAGACGTGATGGGTGTCTGCTTACGCCACCCCAAATTGCCCATGACAGAAGTTGAACCACAGCCATCACCACACAGACTTTCATGTTCCATCCTGACAAAAGATTCAGCAGATAAACATTTGAGTAGCATACCTAAATATCTTGCAGAGATGCAACTAGTTTGTGTGAACCAAAAACTGAAGAAAAGTCATTACTAGATCACAAATGACTGTACTTTTGTATGGCTTTTGTTAACAAATGTACAGCTGTAGCTAAAAGAGGCATACATGGTTGCTGTATTACAAAAAAAGGCATGGTAAAACTAGCAGCAGGAGATTGTAAAATCTGTTAAAATATGCAACATATATAAAAGTGAGATTAATCATCGTATAACAATGGCAAATGTCTAGCTAAAAGTGATAGCAGCTTTACCATAGTCAAGCTCGTAGAAGTTAAGATACAAGATGTGTGTTGTAACGAATGCCAAAATAGGGGCTGCAAACATCACCCTGGTAGCCTCATCCTTGACATTGAAAGTCCTTAGCAACGAAAGGATTAACGAGTATCCAAGCAGCGCAACAGCTGAAGAGTAGTCCAATTTCTCAGTCAAGTCAATATCTCTACAGAATAAGCATGTGGAATTAGATACCGCAGATTACAGTAGTACTTCCAAGTTTCATAATATATTGAAGGGCTCTGAGAAACTTCATACCTAGTATGGAAGATGGAGCTCCAGAACCATGCATTCATTGATAAAATTGCATAGATATGCCATAAGCCAGTATATTCATAGTAAGTTCTCTTCGTCTGGGGTCTAAGAGGTAATTTGTAATTCACTAGAAGGAAAAATGAAAGCCAGCCAGTGAAGTGCATTAATAGGTTGATAGCAGATAGTGCAGCTGAAAGAGGTTCCTGAAGAAGGTTGTCAGATGTAACTGAGATGCCGTCAACAACTAATGATAGAAAAATTGTTAACTCAGGATCCCGTCAGCACAAAACATACCTGGAACACAGAAACACGTAAGAAAGGCCATTTGCCATGATATTTCACAGGGCTCAGGCCAAGTGATTGTCGTTCCCCTCTCTCTGCATCATGCAGAAGTAGCGGCAATCTGTCATACAGTTCAGTTGTTTCCACTGCACATAAATTTGCTCCTGGTTGTACCAAGAACCTCCAACAGATGTGTCATTCTCTTTGGACTGGCAGTGGCTGATGATATTCTCCCCAGTAATCCCTGTAGTCTGACACTCCCTCACGCAGGTTCTAAAGATTGATCAGCAGAACAAAAGTTTTTCATAAGCTCCTAAATAGTAGTAAGTTGAAGCAATTCATCACAATAAAGGGTAATTACATCAGTATCACAGTATGGCATCAACTAGGATCAAGGTTACATTAGGCGCTAGGCGCTCTCTAGGCGGTAACCCACCGCCTAGCGCCTAAGCGAGCCTAGGCGTTTTATACATATACATATACATATATTACATCTAAAACAAAAAATAAACAGCAGAGTAGACATATATTACATCTAAAAGAAAAAAATAAACAGCAGAATAGTGGGCTTAGATTACATAGAAAGGCCCATTAAGAGTGCCCATCCTACACACTGCAACCTCATCCATCCGCCTCCTCCACCCAGCCGCAGCGCTCGCGCCCGCCGCCGCCCGCACAAGCCCGCGCCTGCATGACGGCCCTCCCCCACCGGCGACCTCCGCCCGACGCTCCTCCTCCCCCACCGACGCGCATACCACCGCCAACAGGCTGCGCCCGACGCCACCCGCACAAGCCCGCGCCCACGTGACGCTCGTCCTCCCCCACCGGCGACCTCCGCCTGACGCTCCTCCTCCCCCACCGGTGCGCATACCGCCGCCGCCGGGCTGGCACCGCCTACCCCCCTAGGCAAGGCGGTACCCCTCCGCCCAGCGTAGAGGTGCGCCTAGGCGAGCACAGAAGAGCGCCTTTTTGAACACTGACTTGGATTGACAATTAATGTGACATCTAGTGATATTTTATTTAAGGAAAATGGGAAGCTAAAAAAAGAGCATACTCAGCTAGTGCTTCATTAAAATAAAAAAGATGCTAAACAACAACAACAACAACATAGCCTTTCAGTCCCAAGCAAGTTGGGGTAGGCTAGAGTTGAAACCCACCAAGAGCCCCAAGTCACGGAAAAAGATGCTAAAATTTAATAAAATTAATTTCAAAATACTGTTGAGTGTTATTGGTAATAGGCTAGTAGCATATCTGCATATGCAATATGAAAAGAGCCTACAAGAAATAAATATTAAATAATGCAAACATGTAACATAACCATGGAAGGCAAAATGAATCCTAGTACCATTAAGCATATCTCACAATACAACTGCCTTGTATACTTGAAACATGAAATTTGGAGACTATGAGAACATACATTGACTATTTGACTAAAGTTTGTAAAATTCCTAGCAAACAGCTTAGTTAGGCTGTCCGTGTTAGACTTCTGTAACTATGGAGAGGTACACCAACAGTCACAGAGAGCCAACAGAAGCCATGCAGTAGCAGCTGCAGCTTACCAGAACCAGAAGCATTAGTTAGCCATTTTTATTTGGATATCGCTTAGTTGTGCTGGATTAGATTCTATTGTAGTTCTAGCTCCTCTATCAAAAGACCAAAGAACACATTATCTCAGACTAAGCAATAAAGAAGTTAGCAACCCTGCCAATATTTGGTCACCACAAGAACCGGTCATGACCAAAATTTCCATAATAGGTTTGCTGGAGTGTAACCATGCCAATACTGTCAAAATCTATTGAATATGTGTACAACATGTGGACCCCATATGTCATTATATTTTTGGTGTCACAATATATTCATCAATCATCATGGTTCTCGATTTAATTTAATTCCAAGGAATAAGTTGGTTCCAACAGATTATGAATCCAATGCACAGTTCAATAGAAAAAAGAAAATCTATTGAAGCTTAGATAACCAAGAGATTCCATAGTCCATGCAAACAGTCAAGAGGGCCACCTCACCCAAGACCTTCTGTTGGCTCTGCCAAATCTTCGGCAAGCCTCCATTCCAATTTGCCTGAGCTTGGTAGTGCAAATGCATTGGCGAAGTTAAGTTATTTAGAGTAATGCCAACGTATGGAAGCAAACAAATGCTAGCAAAAAACATCCGCATTACCAAAAAAAACAAACAATGGTTTGGTTCACCAGGGACAAAGACACTACCACAAAAATATGTTAGTCACTTCTGCCTACCTCTGAAACAGCTACATTGGAATGAGCTACTCTGGTAAAAAAGAGTTCACTATAACGAAGCAGACAGCTACGCCATGTCTTTTAAAAAAATGCCACAGGTACACAGGTATATTGGATTGAGCCCTGAGTAACTTTTGTAGGGTCTGTTTGGAGTGCGCCCTGTGTAGATTGCGCTTTAGCCTTTTGCATCCCTGGTCACTGCCTGTACCTTGTTTGGTTACTCAGGCACACAAAGGTGGTCAGCAGACTCAATCAGTGTTCTCACATCCATTACTCATTTTTTAGTGCATTGTTAATTACTGTTGATTCATGCCATTAATGCTCAATGATGCTACTGCATATTGCACTCCGCCTAATAGATGTTTTTTTTTTACTTTTACCTCTCCACAGGAAGATGGATGCACAAACATGTTGTTCTATGACAAGGGTAAAATAATTTAAAATGATCATCTATCCATATTCCAGCTTTGAAAATTGTATGTACCAATAGTTTTCATCTAAGAAAACAATTATTTGAGCAAATATTTTATGGACATCGCAAAGATACATTAGCAACTAATTCAATCTCAGGCTCAGGTATGAACCACACATAGTATAGCCTGAACAAGCAAAATTCATCAAAGTTTCAGGCTACCTTCAGGCAGCACTTCCCCCTCAGGCACAACGCTTAGGCCTCAAACCAAGCAGGCCCGTACACAGGCCAACACAATATACAATGACACAACTAAGGTACAATACAAACCTACTGTTTTCTCTACGAATAGAAAAAATTGAGAATAATAGATGCATGCCAGATGTCTGCGTCAAGGTTGATTATACTACAAATGTCACAAGCAAACAAATGTGGAAAGTATTAGTGTAAGTCGTAACTGCAAATGTTGAACTGGTTAATTGCACCTGGGATGAATAGCCATGATGTTTGGCACCTAGTAACATAAAGTAGTGCACATATGTGGTTAACATATGTGGCCGCCGCCGCCCGTGCCTCCAGCCATTGCTCTCTCCACGACCGCCTCCTCCCCGCGCGGCGCTTCCTCGGCCACGGCGAGCACCCTTGCAGCGCGCGGCGCAGTCTCACGCCTCACAGCCATCCCCGTCCTCGGCCGCCCACATCGGCGTAGAAGAGAGGCCCCAACCCCGGTCTCGGCCGCGCCCCTACCTGTCATCGCTCACTCTTGCCGATTGCCAGTGCTCCCATGTCACCGCCAATCCGTCATCCTCCGCGCCTCATGTGGAGCTGCGGGTGGTGCTGGGGAGGCCGCGCGCCGGTACGTTTTCTCGGCATAAGAACCTTTGGTTCTTGGCTCCCAGCGTGGGCCGGCTGGATTCAATCCGCATCGGCGCTCCCTGCTAGCAGAATTTGTGATTCTTTTTTGCTAGCTGATGATCCTGAGAACACAGGCAAACGCACCTGGTTGACATCCAATTCTATAAGAAGGCGCTGCTGCAGAATTTGTAATTAATTAGTTCTTTTTTCCGCTGCAGGTTAGTAAGCAAAAGCTTCCCTCTTTGGTTGGATCCTCCAAATAATGAAATTCCCTTTGCACATCTGATTTCAAATTCTCGGCTAAACATTAAGCTAATTACGTTGTCTTTACAATCTGAATAGACATGGTTCTTTTCCTTATGTGCCAAATTCAGCGCCCCCCCAAAAAAAAAAAAAAAAAACACTAGGCGCATGATTATATATGAAAATACGCAAGTACATGAACATAAATCGTCTTCCTCTAATCTTACCATGCAGGATTGCATGAATTGAAACAGTAAAGAGAGTGAGTGGAATAGGTTCCCAATGCTACTAATATGCTTACTAAAGTATACTAGGGACAAAGGCAAGGCTTGTTATATGCAGTCCTGACTTTACTATTACCTTCAAGGTTATTCCTTTCAATCATGAAGGTAATAACCTTGAAGGTAATAAATCATGAAAGGAATAACCCTGGGGTCCGTCCAGTTTCCTCTTGATCTTGCCTAATAACCTTGCCACAATTGCCCTTAGGTTCGAGATCGAAGAAACTCGGCTGTCCCTTCGTCCCTGGGGTCCGTCCAGTTTCCTCTTGATCTTGCCTAATGAGGAACTCGCTGGCACTATCTATAATGGAGGGCGACCTATCGTCACCAGCTCTGCCCGTTTGCACGTCAGGCGGTGGACGAGGTTTGTCCAGGCCACGGCGGCGAGCCTCCCAGTGGCTGTAGAGGTTGATCTCGTGGGCATCCCTACCCATGCCTGGAGTTTGGAGACTGCTGAAGTTCTCTTGGACGAGCTTTGCTGGATTGATGGACTGCACCCGGGCAATGCTGATCGTCGTGATGTATTCATGGTAAAGGCATGGTGCTCCGATCCCGCTCTCTTCCCCCCGGAGATGATGCTGGAGATCGTGGAGCCCGCCTGGGAACGCGGTTCCGGCGTACGGACGTTAGCCTACCCCATCAAGGTCAACGTTCGTCCTCTCGCCGAGCCGGGTGCATATCAAGATCCTCCCCACCCCCCTCCAGAAGATGCAGAAGATGAGGATGAGGATCGTGATCGTCGCCGGAGCCGTAGGCCTCGTTCTTCTCCGTCGTCTCCTATGGCTCCGGCCGCGGCGCCGGGTGAAGCTACGAACGCCGGTCATGCGAGCAGGGCTCCTGTTCACCGACGCTTGGGTCCTCGCGTCCGTGCGGCAGTGGATCTTGGCATTGATGATCGATCGACGAGACTCATCGGGCCTTGCGGCCGCGCATAGTCTCGGCGGCTCGCTCAAAGTCCAAAGGCGGCCGGGCTGCGGGTGATGCCGTTAACGCGGGATCGCTGCCCGAGGGCTCATGCTATCGTGCTCGACGTTTATGAAGAAGCGCGGCAATCTGGGCGTGGATACGGTGGTGGATACGGTACGTGGGCTGCGAATGAAGATTTAGATGTCGGGCAGGTTAATGACATCGTGAGGCGACGGATCGAGATCCCTCTGGAGCTCTCCGATGGGCCTTCGGTGTGCCCTGAAGGGCATCACCGTGGTGGTTCGGGCTGCTTTCCACATCCCG